AGCCCCAGCTTTTAAAGGTTAAAAAGTCGTCTAATACGCCGGAAAATACGGTACCTATTTGGGCAGGTGTGATTAATGCACTTCATAAAAGTGCTGGTATATGCCATTTCTGACACTGAATGGCTCTTTCATTACCTACAACACCTTCTCCCAGCAGCCTTTTCTGGCTGTAACATACCACAGAATATCTCTGCAGTCATGCACTGTTACACATGATGTCAGAACAGAAAATCATGCTGCTTTGAATAGAGGTTTTTCAGTTTTTCAAAAGTCAGTGGAGTGGGCAGAGAGAAATCGGTTCCATAGGAGATCATGGTGGGTTGAAAATGAATAATGGCTTCTTCCTTGTCCTCCAAATTAATAGTCCCATCGTGCGAATTCACTTGTGTTTCATTCTTCTAACCACAGAATGCGTAATAAGCCTACTATATTTTGCATATGAACAGCTACATGGCTTGTTATGTGAAAGAGGACAGATTTTTAAAAATGACAAAGAGAATAAAGAAGCCTATACTTCCAACCATCTGACATTATTAGCCACGGTGACATTAGGATGGCAGTAGCAGCACCAGGAGGAAAAACAAACAAAATGCCATGTGCCATAATTGACGCCCCCTCCTGCCCCTTCCAGTTCCTGGTGACTGTTATTACAGTAGACCTTTGGTATCTGCTGTAGTTTGGTTCCAGGACCCCTGTAGACACCAAAAGCTGTGGATGCTCAAGTCCCATTAAATACAATGGCATAGTAAAATGGTGCCCCTTATATAAAATGACATCAAGGGTTTTTTTTTTTATTTTGGGTTGTTTTTTTTTAATTTATGTATTTTAAAAATATTTTCAAGCTGTCAATGATGAATCTGTGGATAAAAAATCTGTGGATATGTTTTTTTAATAATTGTGTTTGTAAAAATGTATGTATAGCTGTTGTATATGTTTTTATGTTATAATAATATTTTTTTAAAAAAAAATCTGCAGATATGGAAGGCTAACTGTATTTGGTCTTTCCATTTTAGAAATTAGAGATTCAGAGATTTGAGAGATTGACTGCTTCATCTTGAGCTGCAAAAGATACTCATCAGGCTCTGAAATCTAGCAGATATCCATAGACGATTTTGTCAATACAGCATGTGTTTGCAGCTAGAATCTAGTTGTGTTTCCACAACCCAAATCTCAGTATCTGGTTTTCAGGAGTCAAAATTTTGCATTTTGAAAATTCAATGAAATGCTGGCTAGTGTCTTGTGCAGAGTCATCCAGAGGAGACTTGAATTGTTTTATTTATTTATATTTTGCCTGTTTGCCAAAAAAGACACTCAGGGTGGATATTTTATGTCTGAAATACATTATTGGGTAGTTTGCATTTTCTATTGAAGTCAGTTGTGTTCTGAAAAAAGCAATCTCTACTTCAAAGAAGGTTATAATTATACATTGGAAAATATTAAAAGCAATGGAACAGCTGCAAGACACAGTTGTGCTCAAGAGTATCCCTGCTTTGAAGAGAAACATCCACTTTCTTTGTACTGGAGAGGTGGTTTTTTTCATCGCTTTTGCCAGCTAATAGCACTGAAACATTTTCTAACAGAGTTGCATAGTCTAGTTTTCCCATCAAGTTTGAGTTCCCAACACCCTGGGAAAGTCTGGCTTCTAAATCCGCAACCCCTACAACCCTGGGACAAACGTTTTATTGAATTGAAAAGCTGCAGTATACTCCCTTCCTTCTTTTTGGAGGAGAAAAGGACCTATTTAACATAACAGTGCCTAATGTAGAACATCAACTTGAACCATCCTGACCTCATTGCTCCTTGTCTTTATGCACTCTTTTTTTTCTTTTTCTTTTTTTAGCAGAGGAGGCTTTAACAATAGGAAGTACTGAAAGAGAAGAAAGTTTGAAAAGAATGAAGACACTTGTCCACTCAGCTCTCCTGTAATAAAAAGGAGGAGGCCTAGTTCAGAGACACTAAAAGTGCCTCCTGTTGCAAAACAATACGGGTTGTGCTACAGGGACTGCAGTCAGCTACTTGAATGGGATCAAAGGAAAAGTAATGTGCTGATCAGCACAACATTTTCACTAGAGAATATTCTTCATTTTAATGCAAGCTGAGAATCATTTGATTAGTTCTTGGGAATCTTAAAGGATGTCCAACTTTCCCACACTGAAACTCATGCAGGACATCAGAAATATGAAAACAAAACAAAACAAAAACCTAATACTTAGCATCTCTATTGAACTTCTGGGTGTTCAGCAGTATACTTTGTAATTTTCAGTATCTGTCTAAGACAGGGTGGGAAAATGTGGCTCATGAGTAACATGCTG